GGGCCTGGGGGGGGGCGGGACCGCGCATACAGATGAGCCCTCGGCCCCATTGTGCGCGGCGCGCGGCGGCGCGGGTTCGGCTCGGCTCGGCCCGGTTCGGCTCGGCCCGGCTCGGCCCCGCCCCGCCCCGCGCCCCCCTTCTCCCTTCCCCCCTTTCCCTGCCCCCCTCCCCAGGGCCGCGCTATGGAGCCGGGGCCGCGCGCGGGCTGAAAATCCCGCGCAGCTTCCGCGCAGCCGCGCGCGCACGGCGCCGCCAGGGCCATCTTGGGCCGCTCGGCACGGTGAGAGCGGGGCCGGGGCCGGGGGGGACGCGGGGACACATTTTGGGGGGGGGGGGTGACGCGCGCAGGGGGCGCGGAGCGGCACTGCGGCTGAAAATCGCTCTGCGACCCCCCGAGCCGGGAGCGGCGCTCGCCGGGCCGAGAGCCCCCGCGGGTGCGTCGGACTGCGGGGATGGATGCGGGGTGTCCGTTACCCCCCCCCGGCACCGCTGACAGCGCGGCGCGCGCAGACGCCCCCATCCCGCCACCTCCGCGCGGGGCCGGGGGGGAACCGAAAGCGTCGCGCTGCTCTCGGGGGGTGGGAAATACCCGGGGTGGGGGTGGGCAGCTCCGGGGGGCGGGGGAAGTCCCCGCGGGTTCCCCCGCCCCGCTGTCACCGATGGGAGGAGGGGGGGGGACTGCCGCGTTCCCAGGGGTGACCCGAGGGGGTGACATTGGGGGATGCGGTCCCCCGGGGGTGACCCCTGTGGGGGTGACGACACTGTGTGTATGTGGTGGTGGTGGTGGGGGGGTTGGTGCCTCCCCCCGGCTCGGCTCGGTCCCGCAGCGTTGGGGTCGCGTCGGGGCCCCCCCGGCTGGCAGCGGGGCAGGCGCGTGCCGGCGGTGCCGTGCCGGGCAGGACGCCAAGTCCCAGAGCCGGGGGGGTCGGGGGGGATGGCGGCCGTGCCCACGGGAGCTCCGCACCTCCCCGCACCGTTGGGGGGCGGCGCTGCCCCGCAGTTCTCCCGGCGCCCATTTCCCGTTCCCCCCCTCGCCCCGCAGTCCCGCTGTCGGTGCCGCCGTCCCGCAGCGCCCGCCGCAGCGCCCGATGAACTCCATGAACCCCATGAAACCGTCGCTGCCGCCCGCACCGCACGGGTGAGTGCCGCCCCACGGCCGCCCGGCGCGTGGCATCCTTCCCCTGTCCCCCCCCCCATCTCTCCCCCCTAATTAAGTTGTTTTTCTTTCTAGTGATGGTTCATTTGCATATGAGGCTGTTCCCTGGCAACCGAGCACCAATCAGCCGCCGGGATCCCTCTCCGTGGTAACCACCGTCTGGGGGGTCAGCAACACCTCGCAGAGCCAGGTACCGCCCCCCCCCCCCCCCCCCCCCCCCCCCCCCCCCCCC